GAACTGGACTGGTAGGTGTGTGAATCAGAGAGAGGCGGCAGTGGGCTCTACGGCTGCATGTCTTCACTAATGCAAGGAGGAGAGAAGCTGCCTTTTTTACAGGCTGCAGTGAGAATAGTGGAGGTAACCTGGCTCAGGCTAATCCAAGCCCTTTCAGTGCAGTGGGTTAAAGACCATTTTTGAAGTGTCTCCAGAGGACACATACAGATATGTCATTTTGGACCAGCAAGCTTGTAAGATGCTGCCAGCCCAGACTGGTGCTGCTCCAGGACTGGTGAGACCAAAGATATCTCTTCCCCCAAAGGAGAGATGGCATTTCATGGAGCTAAGCACGTTAGCAGGCATTTGCCCGCTCCAATATGACCACTGATAACCCTAACCAGCAGGGCTGGTTGAATCACCCCTTGGGCAGAAGCCAACCTATGGGTTGGACCACAGAGCTGCAGAGAGCAGAGAAGTTGTTAGTCAAGGGAAGTGAGATAAAGGGAAGGTGGGGATTGCAGTGCCTTTGGCAAATAGTGCCTTAGCTGATGTGGGACAGTCTTGTTGCATTGCTGTGCCCAGGGCCAGGCTGACAGCACTTCAAACAAGTCATAGAAAAAAACTGGGGTTCCTGGAGCTGCATGGAGTACTTAAGCAATTGCCTTACATTAAAACTGACTGCTGGAATCTTTTGCTGGGTCCACTGGCATTCTTCACAGTAGTACCCATATGCGATTTTACATGAGAGATACCTGTGGAAAACTGAGTGTGAACTTAAATTCCTGTGTTAGAATATTGCCCAGCTGTTCTCTTCTGCACAGTCCCAGTGACTAGAGTAGAGAGATGTTCATTTTTAGAATTTTCTTCACCTCAGAAAACCTTCAGGGTCAAACAAGGGTAGAGGTTTGCAATTCTTCATTACAGTCTACAGTTTTGCATTACTATAGCACTTAAAAACTCCAGTTCCATGTCAAGAAGAGACAAAGAATAGAAGACAGATTCCTGGTGGAGTTCTCATGAGCTGGGAGAGCCTGGGGCTCTGACCGAGGGTCCAGTGTACGGCTGGGGCAGAAGCCTACATTGCAGCAGTAACCTCACTGGGACAGAGCGGTGGGCATTTGACAAGAGTTTCAAGAGATGAAACTCTCCATGACTGCACATAGACTCAGGAATTCACCCCCAAAATTCCCATAGTTATTTTTCAGCTGATTTGGGGACTGCCTGAAGCCACTTTGTGGCTTTCCTCAAGGTTTCCTGCAAAAGGCTAAGGAAAACAGCCTTATTCTTACCCATACTAAGGTTTTTTCACTGCCCTACCTACAGAAAAGTTATGTGCCATGTCCTTTATAACCCACTTAGCTTCTCTACACCTGTTTTGGCCACTGTAAAGAGAATACAGCCCAGAATAATTATTCTTTATTCTGACACATGCACACATACAAAAGGTTTGAGTTAAGAATAGAAATTCTTTACAGATTCCTTCTGGATGCGTCAGGAAGAATCAGGGGCCAGATTCTGCCCTTAGTCCCTGCAGATGAATACTGGTGTAGCTCCCTAAAATCAATAAAATTACTCTGCATTTACACAGTGTCAGATTAGAAGCTACGAAATCAAAACCAAACCCCATGAAGTCTAGCTTGGCAGTGCTCACAGCAAGCCATAAAACCCTCTATAGTTACTTAGAAGTGGTTCTCTGTCCCAGAAAAAAAAAAAAAAAAAAAAAAAATTAAATCTGACCTTATAACTCTGCAAGGTTAGATGCCAATGCTTCCATCTCATTGAGATGACAGTAAACTCTTTCTAGTGGTGCCGCACTGTTATTTCCTGAGTCATAAGATGCTGGTCCTTAAATTCCCTGCTCGTTCAAGATTACTTACTGAATCCTAACTGCTGTGGGTCCGAGGCAAGCTCTGCTAGGGGAGAACTTTACCCCTGGAGAAAGAAAGAGAAGACATTTCCCAAAGCTAGGATCTGTTGGCATCTGCGGAGCAGTTTGATGCATTAGAGGTGGCCCCTTGGGAGAAGGAGTAACTGTGCTTCTATTTTTGCATGAAATCAGGCTCGGCAGAGGGCATGATGATGCATGAATATTAGTGTGTATCTGCTTTCTCACTGTCATTTCCTCAGACTTAGGAGGGTGGCAAAGGATGGTGGTAACAAGAGGGACACAGATAGCCCTCCACATTACCTATCAGGGCGGGGGGGGGGGGGGGGGGGGTGTCTTGCTTCACGCACTTTCTACAGACAGGCGGTTTGCCAGCCAGTAATGTAACTCATGCTGCTGCTGCTCTTTGCAGGGAGACAGCTCTGTTTCTGCTAGCTGCTTGGCCCTATTTGGCATTTTTTATTATAGCCCAACACAGCATGACTATGCAGCTGATTCGCTGCACTACAGCTGGGGTAAGGACTGCTATCACACTCTCTCAGGGGATGCATTGCGAGTACGAGAGTGTGAACTCCGGCTCTACTCCTAGCCCAACTTTGGGGACCTGAAAGAGAGGGATGTGCTACGTTTTAAATATTCACGCATACACCCTTAGCTCCAATGCTTAAGCTCTCAGGTATTTTGGGTTGGAGCTAGTCTTATAACTGGTCTGAAGCTATGCTGCACTGTGCTGTAATCCTGACAATCTTTTCAAGTAAATGTGCTTGAATCTAGTAATTTTCCCAGTGGCTCACCTCCAAGCAAAATGGTGTCGATCATTTTGTAGGTTTCACAGTTGGGTGTGAGTCAGCTCTGAGTCAGGCAGCAGCTCCAGCTCCACGACGTGCTGGTCCCCCTGTGCTGGCACAACGCATGGGGCTGCAGCCCTGTGACAGACACTGCTCCTGAGCCTCCTTAGCAAGCACCATGTGGGAACCCAGGTGCTGGGCACTCGCAAAGCAAAGGGGCAAGTCCCCAGCCCCACACTTTCAGCTGTTCATGTGCTGCAGAGCCCTCTTGGCCTCAGAAGATGGCGGGGTGCGTAGATGATGCTGGCTCCAGGCAGGGAGAAGGGATGGGGACCCACCTCACCCCTGCAGAGGAGCCTGTCTGACTGGGGTGTGGGCACAGCGAGACACTGCCGTGCAAACAACTTCCCTCCCCAGAGCCAGGAGGAAGCAAGGAAGGAGTTTCATCCAGAGACCTCTGTCCCTAGCACAGTGTTTCTGTTTATATTGACATTTATATTAAGTAGGGTGGTGTCCCATTCCTCAGGCAGTCAAGAGCAAAGCCAGACGATGTCTTGAAGGCAACAGTCACTGTGTGTGTTGTGCAAAGCGGCGTGACTGACTGGTTCCTTGTTCTCTTTGTCTTTCTCTCCCCCCTCCCCGGTGGTGTGATTGAAGCAACGCCCCGTGAAGCAGTCCCTGAGCGCCTGCATGTGCCGAGAGTCCCACTGGAAATGCCTCCTCCTCTCCATCCTCATGTATGGCTGCCTGGGTGCAGTGGCTTGGTGTCAGCTGGCCCGGGTCACCAAGCTCAGCTTTGATAGCTCCTTCAAGGGCAAGTCCATGATCTACCACGACAGCCCGTGCTCGGACGGCTACGTCTACATCCCGCTGGCTTTCCTCTCTATGCTGTACGTGGTGTACCTGGTGGAGTGCTGGCACTGCCACGTCAAGAGAGAGCTGCAGTACAAGGCAGATGTGGACAGTGTCTATGAATGCATCAACCGCATGCAGCAAGCCACTCCGTGCATCTGGTGGAAGGCCATCAGCTACCACTTCGTGCGGCGAACCCGGCAGGTGACCCGGTACCGCAATGGTGATGCCTACACCACCACGCAAGTATACCACGAGAGGGTCAACACCCACGTGGCTGAAGCTGAATTTGACTACTCTCACTGTGGATACAAGGACATCTCCAAGGAGCTCTTGGGCCTGGAGAGCTACACAGCCACCAAGCTGAGATTCACCAAGTGCTTCAGCTTTGCCAACATTGAGTCTGAGAACTCTTACCTGACTCAGAGGGCTCACTTCTTCACGGAGATCGAGGGGCTGGATGACTACATGGAGGTGAGGGAAGGCATGCAGCTCAAAAACGTGGACTTTAAAGAGCTTATGATGGCCTACGGGGACCCGGATCACCTCCCGTGGTACGTGTCCCACTATGCTTTCTGGGTGGCAGCTATCCTGATGATCTCGTGGCCGCTCAGGGTACTCATAGAGTATCGGACTGCTTACGTCCACTACCACGTGGAGAAGCTGCTGGGCCTGGAGTACACGGCACCCACGGTGGCAGAGGAGCCCTTGTACCGGTACCGCATGCCCCGAGATGCCACGCAGGACAGCACCGAGCTGGAGTGGCACATCTGCACCAACCGGCAGCTGATCCCCAGCTACTCGGAGGCCATGCTCATGGACCTGGCCGACTCCCCAGCCTACAACAGCTACGCGGTGTGCCGGTATGGTGAAACGGCCCACGGTTGCGAACGCTGCAACCGTGCCTCCAGCACCTCCTCCATCTTCTCGCGCCACGCTTTCCACAGCTGCAGTGGCAACTCTCGCTTCTCCCTCAACACCAGCCGCTTCTCCCTCTGCCGCATCCACGGCTCCCACAGGACAGGCCTCTGGAGGAGCCGCAGCAGCAGCATTGCGGACCGGGGCTGCCAGGACGAGCAGTGCTGCTCCTACTCCAGCCAGCTGGCTGTCAACGAAAACCCCCCAACCTACCACGACGCCCGCTTCTTCCCCGTCCTGATCGTGCACAGGCCAGAGGGGCACGACAGGCGGCATTTCTACGTCAGGCGCTCCTCCTGCCTAGAAACCTCTCTGTGACAGGCCTCCGTGGTTTCTCGGCTCCTCTGCCCCGGGACAGGGCTCGCAGAGGTGCTGCCGGCAGGGAGCCTGCGAGCGTCGGTCTCCACAGCAGGTCGGCAGGACGAGCGTCAGCTCTTCCCCCTGCCATTGCAAGAGGACATAGTCGCTCTGACCAACAGCTAACCTCATTTCCTAGAGCTTCTCCCCCTCCTTCAGCTGGTCTCCCTAGTCTTTTGTTCCCCTCTTCCTTCTGCTCTTTCACTCCTCACCCTTTCTCTGCTCCTCGGTTCCCTGCCTCTCCTCCCATCCCACCCTCAGTCTTTTTTTTTTTACATTTCATTCACAGCATTTGACTGCTGTTGCTGCTGGAGGATTTATAAAGCCTGTGCTTTGCAGTGTATTTGCCCTCTTGGATGCCCTGCAAGGTAAGATACTCAGATAGAGCAAGGCGAAAGGCATGCGGCCAGCCAGAGTCAAGTCAGAAGGAGAATTAAGATCTGCAGGTGCTGAGTCACCTCCTGAAAACCCCAAATGAGGTGCTTTTTAAATTTATTTTATTTTCACCAGTCTTTTTTCCTTTTCTTCTGTCATTTATTCTCTCCTTTCATGTTCTCCTCCTCTTGCTTTACCCTCATCTTCCTTTTTTTTTCAGTTTTCTCACGTCTGCTTTTCAATCTTTCTGGGGTTTTGCCAGTGAGGATGTCTTTCAGGGTGTAATTGCCTTCCATTAGGCAAAAATAAGGTATTCGCGGCACAAATGTCACTGACTGCTGACACAACCACAGGCTATGCCCCTGAGAAGTGCTGAGGACTTTCTTTCCAGAGCAGCGACATACACCAATAAAGCAAAAAGTCCTTTGGTCACCTTGCCCTGCCTGGTCTGCAGCAGAGACACTACTGCATTTCCAGCTGTTGTTAACCTTGTCCAGCTCCACTCATTAGCAATCGTTGAGAGCCGTAATGTAGATCAGTGCCCTGTTAGTGTCACTATTTTTAGGACTGTGGGTCTGGTTTGTGGTTGTTTCATTCCTACCACTCGCTCAGAGCAGCAGAGGCTGGGCAAGGGGAGAGGGGCTGGAGAGGGAAAGGTACATGTGGTATTAACCCTCCCACCGATAGTCTGGAGTTGTTACAGAGCTCTTCCACCCGCAGCATCTATTAGAGCAGCTGCAGGACGGCTCTATGTTATCCTTCAGCTTTCCATGTGCCCTGGGGAGGGCTTTTGGCCTGTAGCCCACTGCCGCCTTCCCATCTTCCCAGGCGGGATGCGGTGCCACCCCAGCCTCAGGCAGGGAGCACAGCTGGGAGAGGGGGGCCCCCCCCCCCCCAGCCGCTCCTGCCGGGGCTGCAGGCTCTTCCTGCAAGGCTTCCTTCCCCTGGAGCAGGTGCAGCACCTTCCGGAAACTGTCAGATTAGTCCCAGCAATGCCAAACCTAGAAGGTGTCTGGTCCTGGTGGAGCAGACTGCTGCACTCTGGGCTGCGGGCTGCCCTCCTGGCCCGCCTGGAGACCCCCCGAGAGCCAGGGACCGACCCAAGAAGCTTATGGCCACACTGAGGACCTGCCAGGGACCTCGCACCTGCCAAACCTCCATCCCACGAGGGATGGTCATACGCTGAGCAAGCTCCGTACCATTTTGTCGTGTGGATGGCGGAGATTATTATCTACCGTGACTCACAGGGGAATGCAATACGATCGCAATACAGTCACTTTCAAAAACAAAGTGCTGTCACTCCCTACAGCAAGTAGGTAAGAAACCAAGCCCCCAGAGGGGCTGGCAACAAATGCTTCCTCCCAAGTCCATTCTTCGTGTATCTACATGTAATACGGGATTTGTAAAGTCGTATTAGTATGCGTAGATTATATATAACTCTGCATACTTATATGGTGATTTCTTAAGGCATTGACTGTTGCACCATGTTAAATACATTTTGTTTTGGTTTGATGACTCTGTTTTGATGTGTTGTGTTTATTTCAACTCCAGAAATAGAAACATTGGCAATACCTGGCTAACCTGCTGCAGATGATGGCACCATCAGAAAGGTTGTTTAAATTCATATGAGTCAATCTTTTTAAATGTAAATAGTTTATGTATGATTTATGTGACATTTTCATTCTGACAGCTTGGCATTTATTGCAAAAGATAGATAACACATATCATATGTTAGTTTTTCACCTCTAAAAAAGAATAACCATCCCAGACACATGGAGAAACCAGGTTTGGGCTCAGGGTAATGATTATGGTTGGGCTGGGGCCAAACTGGATAACACTGAAACTTAGAGAAAAATCCAAACTTAGATCCATCCTACAGTGATCCAGTCCTAGCCCCCATCTACACCGTGCCACCTACCACCCCCAGGCAGAGCTGGGAGAGTTTGGCAACTAGGAAAGGATTGGGCCTGAACTCAAAGCTCAGACTCATCCCTGATTTACTTGTATTCTGAAGACTGAGTAAATGCAAGTCTTTAATATGGTTCCCTGTGCTTATTGTCATTCACACAGAAAGTTAAAACCAGCACATATGGAAGATGTAAGAGCTGGAGGTGGCTAAAGCTTCACGAAAACAGAGAGGCTGCAATATTTCAACACAGTTTCTTACTGAAGGAGGTGGTAGGGAGGAAGACCAGACAGAAGAAAGGAAGAGATGGTAGAATAATATAAATTAAAAAAGAACAGAGTTCAGCTGCAGCTAAGATAATTCCCAAATGAGCAGCATAACTCAGTTATGGCAAGCTTAGCCCAGACGCAGGCAGGATGAGTTTCAGTCTTCTTGTGTAGCTGCTGCAGCCACCTGTGGCTTTAAATACCATGTCCAAGGTCTTGGCACAGCCAGTTTGGTCCCATATGTATTTCAAGATGGAGAGTTAAATTTGGGTCCTCAGAAGTGGCCACGTTAAACAGTATTATTATCCGACATGAACAAGCTCTGGCAATCCCATTATTATGATGGGTTGGGCAGAGAATGGGGACAGTTTATGCCCAGTTTAACCTTTTCAGTGTCCTCAAAAGCCACTGTAATATCCAGCAGCTCTCAAGCTGTGTCCTTGGCAGGGTTTGGAAAGCTGAGAGGGTTTCTGCTTCCTCACTCCTTGTGTTCTGGCCCAACTTTGGGGCATTTACTTGAGAAGCCATCCCTAAGCTGCAAAAGCCCTCGCACACATGGAGCTCCCTCCTGTCATTCGCTGCAGCCTCTGGTGGTGACTGAAATGCTGGGAGCAGCTCCTGTTCTGGCCTGGGGCTGAATATGCTGGTTTCAACAGATCACCCACTCAGGAAGCACCTGAACAGCCATCCTGGGGCTCCTACACCATAGAGCAGAGCTATCCTGCGACCCTTGAATGCCACTTCATCGTTGCTCTTGCCATTGCTGCAGCTTCCTGATGCAGGATGAGGGATCTGTCCCCTAGCAATGGAGGGGATAACGCTGCTCTTCAAATCTCAAGTCAGAGGATGGAGTAGACAGGTTCTCAAATCCAAGTGCAAACCAGGCAGCTCTATGGAAAACGCCTTGTACAAAACACAGGGATTTCGTATCCAGTTGCTGACTGACTACTTTGACAATGAAGAAGTGGCATGCACCAGCAGCTTTTGCCAAACTTTTAGGGCTATGGCTTCTCATGTGGAAATGGGTGTTTTGGGGTGCTTCCTCACTGGGATAACCCATCCTTGTCCTGTTGGGTCTCAATAATTAGAAGAGGCTGAACAGCAGAGGAAGGTGAGGAAGTCCAGCAAATACTTCTCCCTCTCCTGCTGTCTCTCTCCCTTCCCTCCCTCCCTCTCTTCCTTTCTTCTTTTTTCCTTCTCCCTCATCTTAAGAAGTCTCCCAGCACTGCGAATTCACTTCTTGATTATTGTGCAGCTCTTCAGGGATTTTCTAGAACATGCCTATGCTGCCCAGCAGGTCCGGTGAAATGTGACAACACACTATCACAACAGAAGAAGTAAGGAAAGGATGTAAGCCAGGAAGGCACCAGCTTATTTATAAGCCACTGTGCTGTGTCCTGTGCATGTGAGCAGTGAGTGCTGCCGCCGGTGTTACGGCCTGTAGAACAAAGCCACATTGCTTAATTCAGTGACACGAGAGGCCGGGAGAGTTTATTTGTCTTCAGTGCCTAAAAGCATTTCAGAATCACCAGTTCCTTTGATTTCTGTATGGTAATATTGCACTCCTCCATAAGTTTTCCCACAGTAGTTTGCACTCCAATTGGTAACACGTGCAGGATTTCAGTCCAATTCTCATATGGCTCTTCCTGCCTGTCACTGTTGACACAAAGCCCTTCTCAGAAGAGCTGAAGCGAGATCCCCTGCTAGGGAAAATTCCCGTTGGTCTACTGCTTCCAGCACAGCTTTGCTCTCTTACACCAGCCTAGAGTCTGGCCTGTGCTGTGCTACAACTTCCTATCCCATACACCTCCTTTCCTCTTCTTCCCCTTCCCAAAGCCTTTGGGAGCATCGCATATGACATTTGGACGAAGCACAGCATGCCTGTCGAGGTAGAGGCATGCTCCGGGCACGCAGCGTGGAGTCAAGCCTCTCTCGGCCACTGCCTCCCTGGATGGGCTTGGCCAAGTCACAACGCTTGCCTGTGCCTCCTCTGTCCCATTTGTACACCAGAGCACTTCCTCAGCCCACAGGGCCAGTGTAGTGTTGCGAGCCTCTGTAACTGTAAGGCTGGAAGAAATCCTTAAAAGGAAAACGCCGTAGAAACACAGTGTTATTCTAATGGCCATTATTTTTTCTCATGAGACAACTAAAATCTGCAAAAGTAGCTACTTTCTGGAAGGTGCTATCGCCATGAGTAAGTGCAGAAACACGCCGTGCACTTGGATAGATGGGTATATATGGATACACGGGGGAGAGAGAGTAACGACAGTGAGGGCGCGTGAAGCTTTTAGCAAACACCAGTGCAGAAGCTCTCAGCCCAAGAGCCGTTGCGATCCTGGCAAGGGGCATGTCACGATTTCCTGTCCCTGAGAGCACCCAGGCTTCCTGCAAGCTCTCAGGTGGATGGCTTGTCA